AGGAAGTTCTTCCTAGTGTTTAGCCGAAAACTCCTTCCCATGTAGAGCACGTTACAGTAATCTAACTTGGATGTGATCACGGCATGGAGTATCATGGCCAGATCAGACTTTTCGAGGAACAGCCGTAGCTGGCACTGTCAGCTGAAGCCTCCAACCACAGGGCCAGCATACGACAGCACCCCGCCCAAAAAAACCCACCCTCTTTTAGGGGATGGCTAACCCTCCTCCAGAGCATAGCAGGCTCAGGGCTATAGCCCCAAGGAGAGACTTGCAGAAGTCTAGTCCTGTCAGCCCATACCCGGCCCCTTCCTCAGTTTTCAGCTGTCATTAAATAAAAAGCACAGTGCTAGATCCTTGGCCAATGGAGCCTCGTTTGGGGCTCCAGCACAAAATGCCCCCCTCTGTTTCAGCCCCCCCCCCCGTTAACATCAAAGAGGACTTACAAAAAATCCGGGAGACTTCGTACGTAGACGTTGATCTGAAAGCGTTTGCACGCCCGTACCAGCAACCCGGTCGTCTGTGAAACGAGAGACCCGTGACTTACAATTCTGAAAAAATTCCTCGGTGGCGTTATTCAAAAAACAAATAAACGAGTGAGTGACCCTACACATTGAATATGGATTTCGCTCCTGGACGGGGAACCAAAGCGGTGTGCAAGGATGGGACTAGGCGGGGCATTTTCAAACATTTATGAATCCAGAACAGAGAGTGAGGATGGAGACAGATGGGAACGTCCTGCCTGTTAAAACGAGAGTCACGCCAACAGTGACATGTCCAGCACCACACAGGAGCAGTGTTCCCTCTAAGCTGAGTTAGTGTGAGCTAGCTCACAGTTTTTTAGCCTCTGGCTCACACATTTTTGTCCTAGCTCAAGAAGGATGGCTCCAGAGCAACCTAATTTATGCAGTAGCCAAATCGCTCGCTCACAACTTTAATGCCAGTAGCTCACAAAGTAGAATTTCTGCTCACAAGACTCTACAGCTTAGAGGGAGCATTGCACAGGAGGTTTTTGTTTTGGCGTTTTGCTTTTTTTTTAAAAAATTAATTGGATGGCAGACTATTAGTTCAGCCACCTGCACCCAAATATGAGCAGCTGTTTGGCGTCCCAGTAATGAGGCCGTAAGTGCTGGGGAAAGAAACATCTGAGGCCACTGCAAAGTCTGAGAAGAGAACATTTCCAGGCTTACAAAAAGCAAGACAGGAAACCCATCTTGTGTTCAACTTTCTTGTTATCTTCTTCCCGCGATGACGAGAGAAGGACGGAAGGAGGAAGAAGGAGCTCTCAAATCCTAGAATCGCTCTTGACGAACTGCAGGGGCTAGCCATGTTTGTAATAACTTCCCCCTTTAGCTTCAGGTAGAACTCTTGTCACCGGTCTGTCAGGGTCAGTATTGTCCACTCAGGTCCCGGTCACATGGGCCGGAAAATGCGGGGGGGAGCGTGGCTGTTTGCCCCGGAGCAAAGTAACGCACGGCAGCCCAATCACATGTCCTGTCGAGGTCCTGTGGTTCGGCCGTTAGGTGCCGATCACACAGCTATCCTGCAGCGCGGTCACCGAAAGTTGTGCATGCGCATGATCATTTGTGCGCATCCTGTGGAGATTGTTTAAAAAAACAACAGTCCAGTTTGCAACGGGACATGGACGGGCGCTGGATGCCACGGAATTCAAGCGGAAACGCGATCAGACGCCCGCCCTTACCCCGCATTTTCCGGAAACTAGTACATTGTATGTGGTGGTTTTTTACTCCGCATCTTCGGCGACAAGCCACGGGTTAGCCACAGGTGCACCACGCTTCCCAGATGTTGCGGTGTGATCGTGCACCGAAAATCCACCTATCATCCGTGTCTTTAGCGCGGCAACTTCTCCGTGTGAACGGGACCTCAGACAGGCAGTGGATCTCATACAGAGGTCTTTTACACCCCCTTCTATCCGTTCCTTTTAACTGGGGCTGCCAGCTTTTGAACCTGGGACTTTCTGCATGCCAAGCAGATGCTCTTTCACAGTGCCTCCGACAACACTTAAATGTAGTATTTCCTGCATCTCAGGAATTGGGTTCTAGCTCACAAAAACGTACGCCATGATTAAAGTGGGTAGTCTTTTAAGATGTTACAAAACGCTTTGTTTTTTTCATTTGCGAAAGAGCAGAGAGGCATGTGCACTTGTAAGTCAAATGAAGTAGTAACACACACACCCCAGTCCGCCTGTTAGTGTATATTGTATTTTGACTGTGACATTTGGAGAATTTCCAGGATTTTGCATATTTTGTGGCAGCAATTAAAATGGCTGAAAAAATATGTTGGGCACTGGGTTTCAGAACATATGGGGCAAGTGGAAGGAAAGTTCTTCCATGTAACCAGTGTTCCCTCTAAGCTGAGTTAGTGTGAGCTAGCTCACCATTTTTTAGCCTCCAGCTCACACATTTTTGCCTCAGTACAGGAAGGATGGCTCCAGAGCAAACTGATTTCTGCGGTAGCCAAATCGCTCGCTCACAACTTTAATGCCAGTAGCTCACAAAGTAGAATTTTTGCTCACAGGACTCCACAGCTTAGAGGGAGCGTTGCATGTAACCCTGTCTTTGAAAATATTTTCCTTCGAAAATATTTGGATGCAGTTTTGATTTTTTCCTCACGCTTTGCAGTTCAAGCACATTTCTGGCCTCCCTGTGGAGTTGACAGTTCTGTTGAGTCAATCAATGGAATCTCCAGAGCTTTAGTGCTCCTGCCTCATTTTTATATAGTTTAGATACTTCCAGAGGCAAATTCAAGGAAAATTTAGGGGGAAGGAGAGGGGTGACTACAATGGTTTTGAGGTAGCGCTGAGGGAAGACACCATGGGTGCGTTCAGACGGGGCGTTTCAGCCGGCATAAACTGTACTGGTTGGAACCATTGCAGTTTATGCCGGCTGAAACGCGATCACACTTACCTCCTGTCTGCGGAGCCCATCACTGTATGCCCGTTCACACACAGCGGGCGTCGGTGGTTTGTTTTTTTTAACTCAGTTTGCAGGCAGCCATCCACAGAATGGCGATCTTCGCGCATGCACAAAACACCCCGTCCAGAAAAGCATGCCCTGAAGAGAGGACTTACCTTTAAAGTTTAAAGAGCAAACTGGCCTCCCTGAGGTCCCGGACTCCTCTAAAACGTTAAACTAAGGACCTTTTCTTTTTTTTTAAACAAACGCCGGGGCGAAGCTTTGCCCAAGCGCATATCACCGACCTTTAAAAAAAAACGGCGGGCGAAAATCGGAAGCCTTGGGCTTCCGAACGGACGTGGCTCTAACGGTGGAGAGCGATCAAAAAAAGGGGGGGGGGGGGGTAAAGCGATTACAACCGTTGCACTCAGGATACCACCACTTGGGCACCTAGTGGCAGAATACAACGGTTTAAAGCTCTTTGCAACGGTTAGGGACGGGAGGCAGATGTTCGCCGTGTGAACGCTGGTAAGTACACCGATTCCAACCGGCACCTATACCGTTGTAAATGCCCCGTCTGAACGCACCCCATGACTACCAAACCACTCCCTATTTGACAAAATTAAAAATGGAAGCTTTGGGGAGTAAAATAAAAGCATTCATCTAAAAAAACCCCGAAGGTTGCTAGATAAAAACTGTGTCTATCGATTGTGTTTTAATCCACTTCTTCCTCCGTGGAATTTAGGGTGGTACACATGATTTTCCATGATGTTCAAACTGGGTAAACTATGGTTACTTCTAAACACAGTTGCCCTCCAATCCAGAACTAGCAGTCGTGGATTGGTGTGGGATTCTGATTCGGAGGGAAACAACTGCTTGGAGTAAAGCACAGTTTTCCTGACACAGATGTCACAGTCTGGTTACTGGGAACCAGAATGTGGAGCGGGCAAACAGCACAGGCAACCACATGAATCTGCCCTGTAAAGAATCAGGCCCTTGGTCCATCTAGGTACATACTGTCTACTCAGACAAGCAGTGGTTCTGTATGGTCTCAGGTGGAGGTCTTCCACATCACCTACGAGCGTGTCCTTTCCCAACTGGAGGTATTGGGGATTGAACCTGGGACCTTTCGCATGCCAAGCAGAAGCTCAACGACTGAGCCACACCCCGCCCGCCCCCTGTGCGAGGGAAAGAAAGGAGAACATGAAACTGTCTGTTCCTAATGGCCAAACCATGCTGAGATAACTGTATTGATTTCTGAAGGAAATAACGCTTAAGTCCCAAACGGTTCCACATTAAACTATAGGGTAGGGGAGACCAAGCTCTTGCTTTTAGGGGTGGACAGTACGGGGGTGGGGGGGAGCCTTACTGGGTTTATATCCAGAAATGTCTCGTGATCCTCTTTCTTTGGATGAATGCCGTCAATGCTCTTGATATATGCCTCATCCGACTGGTAGAAATGTGGTGATGATAATAATATTGGCGCACCTACAACAATAGAAATTTTTTAAAAGCCCAAAATGGAGATGTTACCAACATTATAAACACAGTTTAAAATAGTTTAAAAACACACAGAACAAGACCCTCGTATCAGCTCTGTATTATTCTTTCAGCACGGATGATGAAGGTTTAAAGGTAACTGGTTAACTATGTGACTAATTAACTAAAACGAGGGATTTTTCTCTGGGGGAATGCGGCGGAACAGAGTTCTGGAATCTCTTTAGCAAAATTCTTTTAAAAATATTTAAAAGTTTATGAGTTTTCAGTCTACAGGCTGAAAACTTCATTTCCCTCCTGAGAGTTCCAGCATGTCCCTGACTAAAACTCTGTATTAATACTGTATTTACCTAAAAGGAAGACTAGGGTTTCTTCCGGGGGTGTTTGCGTACTAGTTACATATAACAAGTTTGTGCACTAGTTACACGTTTGTATGGAAGCGATAAATGTTTTGCTTCTTGCCTTTTTTCATGGGGTTGTCTTACATTCAGGGTCATCTTCCTCTTGGGTAAATGCGGTAACACTTAGCATTTATATCCCATATTTTAAATATTCAAATAGTCGTCAATCCTTACCAAAGCTCTGTACTCATTATCTCCATATTGTTGATGTTGAGCAGAGGTGGAAAAGGAAAAAAACTTGCCATATGATCACATAATATGCTGAGGTGAGATTTGAACCTGGCATTTTCTGGCTTGTTGCTTCTGTTTGTGAAAATCTGTAGGGGCCACAGCAATATCTGGGGGAGACTACTCTCTCCAGAGCAGGGGTGTCAAACTCATTTGTTACGAGGGCTGGATCTGACATAAATGTCACTTTGTTAGGCCGGGCCATGCATGCCATAAAATGTAACACATGGTACCGGAGATATAAACTTTATAAAGGTGATTTCAGGTGTTGAATGGCAATAGCAGGTGAAAGACAATAGCAGGCCTGATAGGATTAGGTGTGATATGCAGAGGGGTAGTAAGAACATAAGAACATAAGAGATGCCAATGTTGGATCAGGCCAAAGGCCCATCCAGTCAAACACTCTGTATCACACAGTGGCCAGAAATACCAGGGGCCATCAGGAGGTCCACGAGTGGGGCCAGGACATTAGAAGCCCTCCCACTGTTGACCCCCTGTTGACATGGAGATACCAGCATTGGTAGTGAGACAGGAAACCTAGGTCTCAATTCCATCCAGGTGTAAATTGTTCTTGTCAGAAGAATCCATCCACCCACCCCCTCCCTCCCTCCTCTCCCCCCTCCCCCCCTCCCCAAAAGAGGAGCAGCAGCCCTGGAGAAGGAAGCAGAAGGTGTGTGTGTGTGTGTGTGTGTGTGTGTGTGTGAGGGGCTTGTCTTTGTATGTCTTTGTATGTCTCTTGCACAAAGCAGGAAGCAGCCACTGAGGGAACTCTGGGGTGGGGGGAAGGGAGGCAAGAGGCAGGAAACAGGAAGCAGAAAGCAAAGAGCTACTGAGAGAGCTGGGAAAAAACCAAGCTATGGTGCAGCTGCAGCAGCAGCAGCCACCCTGGAAAAGGAAGTAGGAGAAGGAAGTTGCTCGTGGGCAGATCTGAGCCTTGTGGGTACCGGGGCCAGATCCAGCCCATGGGCCATATGTTTGACACCCCTACTCTAGAGAGTCTGTTCAGTGGGTCTATGCTGGGTGTGGAGGTCACAGATGGCCAACAACTGGATCACAATCTTTAAGGGGAGCTCAAAATGACTTCTAGGAGGCTTCCTACACACATGTTTGAACAACGGAGAAGTTCTTGACGGCTGCTGTGCCCAAGCCAGAATATCTTCCAGAAGTCAGCCAAAACATTAGCATTTGGTCAAGAATTTTTTGGCAAGCCAGAGGAAGAGTTATCTTAACAGCCAACCATTTTATCTACTAATTTCTAAATCTTGCCTTTGGCAAGGTGACGGCACACCGCAATTAAAAACCAGAACGAACCCCCTGAAACAGCAGTTTCCAGTCTCTCACAGTCCAGGTAGTGCCGGAACTGGGAAACGTTCATTTCTGCTCTCAGCTTATCACCTTGTGGCCCACGTACCTTGCATGCAGGTGCTGATGTTCAGGACCCCTGCCCCGAGGCAATTCCCTGCTGGTACGCAAAACCCAGCGTTGTCTTTATTGACTTTGCCACTTTCATAAAACGATGCAGGAGGCACAAACCGATAGGCTGGGATGCCCTTAACGGTAACATACTTCTCGTAGGTCACAGACAGAGACCTGGAAAGAGGCATGAATAATTTGAAGTCTGTCATCTTGAAATCTCATGAGAACAGGCATGGACTACAAACCTCTTCGTCACATACAATACAGTCAGCTGCAGTTCACAAAAGTTAAAGCAAGAAAAGGAATTTGTTCCCTCTAAGGCTGAGTTAGTGTGAGCTAGCTCACAGTTTTTTAGCCTCCGGCTTGCACATTTTTGCCTTCGCTCAGGAAGGAGGTGGCTCCAGAGAAAACTAATCTATGTAGAAGCCAAATTGCTCGCTCGCAACTTCAATGCCAGTTGCTCGCAAAGTAGAATTTCTGCTCACGAGACTCCGCAGCTTAGAGGGAGCGTTGGGGTTCCCAACCTTTTTGAGATTGTGGGTACCTTTGGAATTCTGACACAGTGTGGAGGAGCCAGCCACAAAATGGCTGAAAGAAGCTTACCTTCCGTCACACAGTGAAGATCCTTTTGGCAGGTGTTGCCACAGCAACATTTTTTAAAAAAAATCTGCAATCAAATTTCTGAAGCCCAATCAGAAGCCTTGCTGGGCAAAAGCGTCGCCTGGCTCCACCTATTTTCTAAAGCCACCTGTGAGCACTAGGAAAGGTGTCAGCAGGTGCATGTGGACACGATGTTGGGGACCCCAGGTGTTAACAGTATCACAAGACTCCTGTTTGGTTCTGCGGCTATCCCTCTTAAAACGTGTACTGGTACCCTCTCTGTGACGCTTTGTAATAGAATACAGCTGAGACAGGGTAGGTGTTTCAGGACCAAGCGACTCAGTCCGTGGAAGCTAAAATGTATTGCATGCAGAACAAAGGTTGAGTCCAGTGGGACTAAGACCAATGAGGTTTAATTCTGGGCATAAGCTTCCGTGTGCATGCACACTTCTTCAGATACTGGCACCTTTAAGACCAATGAACTTTAATTCTGGGCATAAGCTTTTGTGTGCATGCACACTTCTTCAGATACCGGCACCTTTAAGACCAACAAAGTCTAATTCTGGGTATAAACTTCCGTGTGCATGCACACTTCTTCAGATACTGGCACCTTTAAGATCAACAAAGTTTAATTCTGGGCAGTGATCCCTCTAAGCTGAGTTAGTGTGAGCTAGCTCACAGTTTTTTAGCCTCCAGCTCACACAATTTTGTCTCAGCTCAGGAAGGAGGGCTCCAGAACAAACTAGTTTATGCAGCAGCCAAATCACTCACTCACAACTTTAATGCCATTCGCTCACAAAGTAGAATTTTTGCTCACAAGATTCCACAGCTTGGAGGGAACGTTGATGGGTATAAGCTTTTGTGTGCATGCACACTTTCTTCAGATATACTGAAACAAGACTTCCTCAACTGTTACACATAGGTAGAGAGAGACTTTCTTGGTCTTAAAAGGTGCCACTGGACTCAAACTTTGTTCTGTTGCTTCAGACCAACACGGCTACCCACCCGAATCTGTATTGCATATAGTCAGGGACAGTCAAAGCCTTGAGAGCAGCCAAGGCAGGAGGTATCGCGTAGGTCTCCCTACAACATCTCATCTTTGCAAAATACTCTTAATTTGGTTCGTCTCATATCCCCTCCACATTAGCACTGTCTATGTGACAATTTGTATCTTTCATCAAATAATTAACTCATCAGCCGCTGCCACTCTCTTCAGTTTGATTTGAGTTGCACTGAAGATAACGGAACAGTATAAAAAGGAACTGAAGCTCACAGCATGAAGTTTCAGTTCAACACCCGAGGGCACTGATATATAACTTGGCTGGTCTGATTGTCCTGATGAACACTTAAGTAGTGAAAAAAAAATAAGAAAGGCAGGATGGAACAGACAGGCATTCTATAGCTCTGCTGTCAAAATAGGATGTACTCATGAAAGGTGTGGGGAAGAAGAATTACCCCCATTCTATGTTTGTTTGTCCTTAATGTTTGTATGTTTTTTGAAATTTTTTTAAATAAAATTCTATCCCTCCATGGGGTAGTTAAAAAAAAATGAAAGGTGTGGGGAGAAAGAAGAGCATGAACTTGGGACAGTAAAGGATTTTGTGAAGCCAAAACTCCTTATGTGCCAAATCACAACATTCTTCTCAGTCATACAAGTTAAGATTAAGAAGAAAGTAAATGAACCAATGAAATTGCCTTATACTCAATCAGACTCTTGGTCCATCAAAGTCAGTATTGTCTACTCGGACTGGCAGCAGCTCTCCAGGGTCTCAGGTAGAGGTATTTCACATCACCTACTGTCAGATCTTTTAACTGGATACTGGGGATTGAACCTGGGACCTGCTGCATGCCAAACAGATGCTCTTCTGCTGACCCACAGCCCCTCCAAGGTTCAGGCTGGCCACAAACAACACTGACTGGTGTGGTCCCAGTGCATTATTCACTGGCTCACTCTGCCAAAGTTAGGTAGCCCTTCAGAAGCTCAGGGGGACACTTCCCATTCTTACCTGCAGAAGTCTGAGGAAAAGATATAGATGGTTTCGTCCTGGTCTATCAGTGGGTGAAAGGAAGACCCATCAGTTCCGTTTATCATATTACACTCTGGTGTCGTCCACCAGTCTAGTTTCCTGTCAGAAGTGGAGAGTGGGGGAGGAAAATGAAGAAGGGAATTGTGTCAGCAAAGGAGCAGACAATCTTTGTGCACAGCTCTGCCCGGCAGTGTGACAGAGTGGTTTAACTGTGAAGCCGTGTTCCCTCTAAGCTGTGAGCATGAGCGGCCGCTCATTAACACAGGAAGCCCCGCTCAGCAGCAGTCTGGAGCCACGCAGGGTCTTGCGCCGCCCGTTGCCTGTTTTAAATTTACAGAACACAAGCAGAAATACGCCCACCACTGGTAACAGCTGAGAATTCCCTTTTGAGCAGAAAGGGAGAGATCATGTGGCCAAATATGAGCCAATTAATTAAGGTTATATCAGAAGGCTTGGCTAATGGGTGTGTGTTCTATGATACCAATGGTGCCCTGGAACAACTAAATAAAGGTGATTGACTCATAACATCTTCCACGACCTCGCCACCTAAGCTCTCCATTACCTCGGATATCAAAATCATCTCCTGGAACTTGGCGGGATGGCGGAATAAAGTCAAAGATGCCAAGTTTATAAGCTATCTTAAAGGGTTTGATGTTATACTCCTTCAAGAAACCTGGTCGCCAGACCAGATTTACCTTGTAGGTTACAAATCCTACAACCTAACATCTTTCAGGACTAATACAAGGGGCCGTTTCCAAGTAGGACTATCTATACTTGTGTCCTTTCATCTTAATTCGGATTACATCTCCCTACAGACAAATAGCCGTATGGAACAGACTATTAAGCTTATTTTCGACCACAAAATTTACCTCACAGCAGCGAACGCAAAGGCTACACGTGCTGTCTTAAGAACATCTTGCAAATGAGGGGACAGTTTACAGTTCTAAGCAAACCTGGTTCCTCAAAATCGTAACAGGTCCCCTCAGTTTCAAGAAAGGGCCTGTCACACTAATATTCCTAAGAGACACCTCCTCTTTTTCCTCTTGCCAAACTGTGGGTTTGAGCTGGATCTAGAGATCCAGCTCAAACCCCCTCAGCCCCCTGCTCCCCCTCCCCAACAGCTCCCCAGCGTCCAACAACCAGAGGTATTCTGTCTCCACTGACTACCAGTCTCCTTCCATATCCAGTACAAATCCTTGTCCTCTCCTTTAAAGTCTTCCACAGCCTGATCCACTCACTATCTTCTCTCACACCCTAATATATCCCTGCCTGTAACCTTCACTTCTTTGCCTCTAACACCATCAGCAACCTAAAAGTCTCGTTTTTGGTTAAACAACGTATACCCATTCACCGTCGTTGCCGCATTCTCCTGCGACTCCTTCCTCGAAGACCTACGTGATTTCTCTTCTTTCCCCTGCTTACTTAAAAAATGGTTCCTCCCCATACCCATCTCTTCCTTAGTCCCTCTAGGTCAGTGATGGTGAACCTATGGCACGGGTGCCAGAGGTGGCACTCAGAGCCCTCTCTGCGTGCCATCGTCCCAGCCAGGCTCAGACCGTCATTAAAGTGTCGAATTCTCTGCCAAATAATTTTAAGTAAATGAAAGGATTTGGGATTGCTTTCCTTACTTTGTTTGGATCATCTTAAGTTAATGTATGAGTTGTTTTTTTCTAAAGTAAAACCTCGGTATTCAGGTTAAATTGCCATGTTGGCACTTTGCGATAAACAGGGCTATTTTGGGGCAGGAACGCACAGGAACGGAGTTCTGGCTGGCTCCCAAGTTGGCCACGCCCAGCAGGAACTCATTAGCATAATTGTCCACACCCAACAGCAGAAACTCATTAGGATTGGCTACATTAGGGGTGTGTGGCCTAACATGCAAAGGAGTTCCAGCTACAAAAAAGGCCCTGGGTTTTGACAACAAACAAGGTAAACAGAATAAGAAGCAACAGGTGGGTGTGGCTGGGTGACCAGACTTCTGGTAACATGGAGGTGCGGCCTAATGTGCTAATGAGCTGTGCTGTCAGGGGTGTGGCTTAATAGGCTAATGAGTTTCTGCTGTTGGGTGTGGCCTATTATGCTAATGAGTTCCTGCTGGTGCTGAGCTTTTTCTACAAAAAGAGCCCTGGGATACATAAGTGGGTTTTGTGTTGCAGTTTGGGCACTCGGGTCTCTAAAAGGTTTGCCATCACTGCTCTAGGTCCTTATTCACAACTGAAACGCAGCCTGTAAAGAAATGAAGGATCTGCTGCAGGATGCATACATTTAAAGAGGTTTCGAAGGGCTGTCTCCTTCTATATGCCCCTGAGCACCAACTACAGCCATCAGGTAGCCATCTGTCAGCTCTCCCACCACTCAAGAGTGGCCCAGGTCTTTTCCTGAAGAGGTGAAGGGAGCCCCCCTCCTTGGAGATCTTCAGGGGGTGCTCCAAGGCCTGTTGGCCCAGGCTTTTTTTTGGGGGGGGGGTTTGAATGGCAGGCATCTTTCGGCCGGGGGGGAAGGGGGAGATTTTAGGTTTTCTATTTTATTTTTGGTGTTCGCTGAAAATGTTTTTAGCTATTTCCAGGGCTATTTTTTGGCAGGAACGCACAGGAACGGAGTTCCGGCTGGCTCCTGAGTTGGCCACGCCCAGCAGGAACTCATTAGCATAATAGGCCACACCCAACAGCAGAAGCTCATTAGGATTGGCTACATTAGGGGTGTGTGGCCTAACATGCAAAGAAGTTCCTGCTACAAAAAAAGCCCTGGGTTTTGACAAGAAACAAAGTAAACAGAATAAGCAGCAAAAGGTGGCGATGGCAACATGGGGTGTGGCCTTAAATGCTAATGAGCAGTGGTGTCAGGGGTGTGGCCTAATATGCTAATGAGTTTCTGCTGTTGGGTGTGGCCTGTTATGCTAATGTGTTCCTGCTGGGCTTTTTCTACAAAAAAAGCCCTGGCTATTTCTATAAGATGTCCTCAACTATGAGGAAAGGGGGGGATATAAATGTTTTAATAAACAAATAAATAGGGAGGTTAGCGGTACTTAAAAACAGCAACGTTCTAAGAACTTCTCGCAGGGCTCTTTTTGTAGCAGGAGCTCCTTTGCATATTAGGCCACACACCCCTGATGTAGCCAATCCTCCAAGAGCTTACAGTAGCCCCTGTAAGAAGAGCTCTGTAAGCTCTTGGAGGACTGGCTACACTAGGGGTGTGTGGCTTAATATGCAAAGGAGCTCCCGCTACAAAAAGAGCCCTGCCTGGAACACTTCCATTTTGCATTGCCTGGAAACAGCAAGAATTTTGGGAAACATGGGTTATGAAGCATGGATTTGAGAGGGAGGGAGGGAGAAAGAGAGGGAGGGAGGGACAACAAGAACTTTTTAATTACTCTTTTCCTTTCCATTCAACGATCCTTGTGAAGTCCTTATAGTTCCGTCCTCCACTGAGAACAACGTATTCTCCGTCGTCCGTCCCATTCATCTAGGAAGAAGGAACATGAGAGAACTTCTTTGAGCCCACCTTCTGATTCAAAATTGGCCACCAGCGATGAAGGAAATTGGGTCAAACCGGCTCACGTTATTTCCAACCCCCATCCATGTTATTTGTAATGGAAGCAAAGATAATCTGTCACAGATAATAAAAATAAAACTAAACATTTGAAAATTGGCCACCAAGTTTAGGATGATAATGGGAGTTGCAATGCCAGAGTCTAAGGGAATTGGAAATTCCAGTTCCAGGTTAACTCCACAGGGTACCAGTTTGTCCAGTAGCACAGGATACCTTTCAGCTAGTCCAGTCTGAGGATACAGACAGGATTCTTGGAAGTCTGAGACCTACCAGTTGCGTCTAAAAACGTTGCCCTTCCAGGCTGCAAGACTACGTCTGGGAGACAATTAATGCCCACTCCTTGAAGTGGGCAGTGGTATGTGTCAAACGGCCTCTGGACCCCGACCATTGACCGATGGTCAATGAAAATCAACCCTCCGTGCCCTTACTACAGCTAAAAGACTTTTATTACAACACTGGAGAGATAAATGCCCAGCTTCGATAAATCAACAGACTGAGACCCTTACACCTTTACCAATATTTGAATGCATTGCAAATAGACAACAATGGCACATGGACTTATTTTTAGATACTGGGAAAGTTTTTTATAGAAACGTACATGTAGATCCACTACTGCTGTTGTTATATTTTTATATCCATTCTCTCTCTATTTTTTTCTTCCCCCCCTTTTTATACTGAATTCTGATAAACCCCCTTTTTAAAAAGGAAAAGAATGAAAAAACATTTTTTTAAAAAATGACAAGAAAGGTTTAAGGACTTTGTTAAGCTATGTGTACATACTTAGCATACATAGGTCCCTGCCACACGGCAGGAAAAACACCGGCCAAAGTGTGGCTAATTAGAGCCGCACCAAAATAGAGACACCGCGGTGGGATCCCACGGATCCCCTGAGCTGTGGCGCCGTTGCTCCCCGGCACGATCAGCTGCCGGGGAGGAAGACGGTCGGGAGGGGGAGGCTGCCGAACTGCGCACATCTGAGCATGCGCAGTTCGGCCAGGAGCCGGGGATGTGCCGGCGAAAGGACGCGCCGGCGATCCCACGGCCGGCCTTGATGCGGCCATCCCAGAAGAACCACCTCGGTAGGTCGTTCATTTTTGCTCCGTGTTTTGGGCGGAAGGGCCGGATCGGGGACGGGTGCGCAACGCTTCCCAGATGTTGCGGTGGGATCGCGCCCGTTTGCTCCGCCCCCGATCCGTCCCTCTCCCAGCCCAAAACCTCTCATATGACCGGGGCCATACTTGAGCTATGTTTGCCAATATGCTAAGTGGTTACAGTGTCAGACTAGGATTTAGGGGATCTTGTTTAAATCTCTACCCTGAAATAGAAGCTTGCTGGATGGCCATGGGCCAGTCACACTCTCATAGCCTAAGCAACCTCGCAGGGTTGTTGTGAAGATAAAATGGAGGAAAAGAGAACGAGGTAAACCCCTCTGGATCCCCACTGGGTGGGATACGACATTTGTTAGGAATCTAATATTGGCTACAGTTTGCAGAAAATGATTTTTTGGGGGGGTATTTTGTGTGTGAGCCTGGAAGTCATGGGTGACTTCTGGCAACCCCTAGTGGGTTTTGGACATTTACTATTGCCTACCTCTGTGTCCCAGCCCTGGTATTCCTTGGAGGTCTCCCTTCCAAGTACTTGCCAGGTCGGCCCTGCTTAGCTTCCGAGATCCACCAAGATCCGGCTTGCCTGGACTAACGTTGCCAGCACAGCAAAAAATATAGTTGGCGAGCAAAGGTAGGCCCCTAGTATAACTGTATAAAACAACAAGCCATTAAAAACTAGCCACTGGGCATAAATAACGTAAAAACTATCCACAAAACACCTCAGACCAATGGCAGACTATTAAAAAAAAAAGGTGATCAAAGACGTGTTTTGGCCTGGCATCTAAAAGACGGCAAACTAGATGTCAAGTTACTTTTTTAATCATGTTTTATTTGTAAGCCTCCTCAAGAAGCTACAAGTGACATAGGCATTTTCTAAATAAAACAGTTATGTAAATCAGGTAAAAAGCTAGCAGGGAAATCCTTCTCGGATGCAGTACAAGAACACAAAATAGAAGGTATCGTCTCGGCCTTAGTCCCTTGAACGTTGGGACCAGAACTCTTCAAATTTTGAGTTATTATTCGCGTGTCCGTTCTTTCTCTCTCCTGCTGATGTGTTGTGGGAAGCAAAAAAATGTCTAGGAAGTAATATAATACTTTTTTATGAGAACCAATAAAATCACCACAGAATAGTAAGCAAACTAGGTGGCGCACAGCACTGTTATGACGTCACTTTTTTTTTTTAAATTGCACTTATATACCGCCCATGACCCCTAATGGGTCTCAGAGCGGTTTACAGTGTACTGCTACTGGTATAGTCGCAGTAGTTAACCTACCTAGGGCCACAGATTTTTAGGGGGGGACTTCTCTACCGACACCCTTGTTGGCGGCGCGTTCTCTCTTCTTTCCGGCGGGGTATGCTGGCGTCCTCGGCTGACCGGCACTTTCAGTTAGGCATCGCCACGACGCCCTCACGGTCCCCCAAATTCCTATGCTAAAACCACAGTGTCTGGGAAGACTGCTAGAGCACGGCGTGATGCCAATTCCAGATATGTGACAGGAAATGATGTCATGGCACTGCTGTCATAGCACTCCCCAGCTATGAAGTGGGCAGCATAGGTTTTTTGGGGTGGGGTTTTTTAGGGTGGGGGAGACCTGGTCCCTCTAGTTCCACAGAACTCTTGAGCAGGCAATACGTTCAGTATAAGTTGCAATGTGAACCTTAAGGGAGTTATGGGATGGTTGTGAATGGTTGTGTGAGTGTATATGAGTATGGCTGTAGATCACTGAAATGATTGCACCTTTAATTTCGTTGTACTATGTACAATGACAATAAAGTATATTATTATTATTATTATTATAAACAGAAAGCTTACCTTATAAAAAAAGCCAAATTCCGGATTGACAGCAGGACGCATTTTGTGCATGGTACGGAGGAACCTGTCTTCGTAGCCCCACAGCCATTCATGAACGGTGTGTATTGAGAACATTTCTTCTTTGTACAACAGGAGCATAACCTCCAAAGGAAACCGCATGGCAGTTGCTGTAGCCATCTCCATTGCAGCCTAATGTGGAAAAGGGGTGGGGGGATTTATACATGAGAGATTTCACATTACCTTTTTAAACCACATTGATTCTGTTATTGGCCTGTCATGGAAGAAACCAGTGCAGGGATGGCTGTTTCACACAGCATTTCCCTCCCGGTAAGGAGCCGTCTCTGAAGCACTGTGGCCATTTCAAACTGTGACACTTTCTTTTCCCGCCATTTCCCCCCACGTGCACAATCTCCCTGATTTTTTAAAAAACATTTTATTGGGAGCGCTATAACGCTGATTTGACATCCTGTTATAGCGTTATAGCGCTCCCAATAGAATTTTTTTTAAAAAATAGGAGAGATTGCACGCGGGGGGGGGGGCGTGAAAAACCCGTCACTGGAGGAAGCGCTAAGGGGCATTTTACACAGCCCACTGTAGCGATTCAGATCCGGAAGAAGGGACTGAAGACCTGAGGAAAGCCGTTTTCGTCAACAACGCCTCAGACACGCTTCCCAAATGGGAGACAACCGGCACTGTATGAACAGGTAAATACATTCTATTAACAGCCGGTTACTAAAACGGGTCTGTCTGAAATGACAGGAAAAAACCGTTAGTAACCAGTTCCTGAAACAGAATAGATAGGCTGTCCGAAATCCTTCATATACGTATATGAAGCATCTGCATTGTACCAGTTCAGACCACTGGCCCATCTAGCTCACAACTCAGTCAATGGCACTCAAGAGATTTTACGAGAGATACTTTTTAAAACTAAAGTTGCTAAAGGTTGATCCTGTGACATTCTACATGCCAACCATGTGTTCTAGTACTGTCCTACACCTCCCCCACCAAATGTTTTTGTAATGTGCAATCCATGCTCCTCCACCCCCACCCCCCAGTTTATTCAGTAATTTCAGGGGGTGTTCGCCCACCACCCCTTTTAATCAGGGACATTTTATAGACCTATGAGCCGTCTTGGTGTGTTAAATTGGGTTAAATGATTGAACTGTAGAATGTTTTTATTGTTTTATTTGTATTTTTAATCTGTCGTGAACCACCCTGAGCCCTGAGTGCAGGGAAGGGCGGGATAAAACTTCAAACAAACAATAAATAAAGGGGAAAAAAATATTCCCCACAGCACAGCAGAACACGGACTTTGACTCCATAATCCCCAAAGCATGCTTAACCCCACCAAACCCACAAAGCCTAAGCCAGTGGTGGCGAACCTCTGGCACGGGTACCAGAGGTGGCACTCAGAGCCCTCTCTGTGGGCACGCATGCCATAGCCCCAGCCAGGCCCAGACCATCATTAAAGTGTCGAATTCTCTGCCAAATAATTTTAAGTAAATGAAAGCATTTGGGATTGCTTTCCTTACTTTGTTTGGATCATCTTAAGTTAATGTATGAGTTGTTTTTTCTAAAGTAAAACCTCAGTATTCAGGTTAAATTGCCGTGTTGGCACTTTGCAATAAATAAGTGGGTTTGGGGTCGCAGTTTGGGCACTCGGTCTCTAAAAGGTTCGCCATCACTGGCCTAAGCCAGTGACTCATGGTTTCTGGAGCCTCGTATTGGCGAATAAAACAACTCTTGCGTCTTTATAACATTTCTGTATCTCTTTTCTAGGTAAAGAATATACAAATGAGTGGCATAGGATCCAATCATAAAACAAGACGAAAAACAGTTCAATGCATCACAGTGCCGAACTGACACGGTTCACACTGAAGCCAAACAAAAGAAAGAAAGAAAATCCCTGAATAGTACAGAAAAACAAATGAGAGTCAAGGAATTTTTGGAAGAGCATTCCAAAATTATGGTGCCACAGCAGAGAAGGCCGTGTTTTTGATGCTCACTGGTTGATCCTCATGTGGGCGCAAGATGCTCAATGGGCATTGCTCCTGTCTCAGTTCAGGCATAGGCTGTGGTCACACTGGCAGCTTGGTGCGATATGGTGCCGCCTCTAACTGAGCCGGTGTAAAGGGTTGTGGGGCATATCCGCCAGACAGCACACCCTGCTGTGGGTTACCCACCCAGACATCCCATGGTCAAGCATCCACATTACTGCAGCACCTCAGGCATGGAGCACGCTGCCTCCAAAATATTCAAAACATGTGTGTGCATGTGCACTCATGCACATGCGTCCACATGTGCATACAGGCAAAAGTTTTTTTGTTTTTTTTAAATATTCCCTAGCGGCAGAATGGATCTGTAGGTTCAGACTGCCAAATCCGTTCTGTGCGCGCTCACCCATGTTGACATCTGGCCATGCGCAATGACTGCACGGGGAACTGAAAACACCACTTGTGATGTGGTGACTTTTTAACCTGGCTCCAAGTCGTCCTATGACAGGATAAGTATGGCTGGGGAACGCCTGGCAGATGTGGCTGTCTGCGCCCATTTGATCCGGAGGGGAGGAGTGCCGGTGTCGGGCCAAACGGCTCGTGTGATCACAGCTATAGTAACCACGCCACGGTCTGACCCTTACAGACTGCCACCTCCCAAAGCGTATAAGGTGAGTGTGGCTGCCAACCCCCAGGTGGGGCCTAAAGTTCTCACAGAATTATGACTGATCTCCAGACTACAGGGATTGATTCCCCCCCCCCTGCAGAAAATGTTTAGTTTAGTTTGATTTCTATCCCACTCCATTTCCTGCAAGCAGGACTCAGGGTGGCGTACAACCTACATGTCAGTATATAATGGGATACATAAAAAGGTAAAGGTTCCCTTGCTTGAAAGCCAGTCGAATCCGACTCTAGGGTTGCGGTGCTCATCTCCGTTTCCAAGCCGAAGAGCCAGCGCTGTCCGAAGACTTCTCCGTGGTCATGTGGCCGGCATGACTAAACGCCGAGGCGCACGGAACGCTGTTACCTTCCCACCAAAGTGGTACCTATTTATCTACTTGCAATTTCTTGCTTTCAAACTGCTAGGTTGGCAGGAGCTGGAACTAGCTGGGATACATACAATACAGTTAAAATCTAGTGCTACTGCCCAGCACTCGTGGACTCCCAAGAATTAAACTGCGGGGTGGGTGGGGGGCCCCCTCAGTGGATTGCAACGGGAGAGGAAAGTCAGAAGTCAGAAGATCCTGCTCTGAGAAGTCCACAAATAGCTGGATACAGGCCACTTTGCTTTTAATCCAATAAGATTTTTGAGAAACAAGCGAACTGAAAATCTTGTTTCTCGAAAGCTCATACCCCGAAATCTTGTTGGTCTTTAGCAGTGCTCCCTCTAAGGTGTGGAGTCTTGTGAACAAACATTCTACTCTGTGAGCTACTGGCATTAAGGCTGTGAGCGAGCGATTTGGCTACTGCATAAATCAGTTTGCTCTGGAGCGAAGAGAAAAATGCATGAGTCGGAGGCTAAAAAACTATGAGCCAACTCACACTAACTCAGCTTAGAGGGAACACTGGTCTTTAGCATTATTACATTACTACTGGCTCCAGACTGCATCTTAATTTAATTTTATTTTTTTTACCAGGAGAGAAAGGTACACAATTGAACTATTCTTCAAAGAAAGTGTACCTGACCGTGGCAGCAAGTTATCTAAAGTGAGCCCTCTTGATTTATATCTCTAACTTAAGTCACAGATGTATCGACTATAAAACAATCTCACCTTGGAGAGAAGGGCGGGGTGCAAATGAATAAATAAAAGAATTACATTTAAAAGTTTTGCTTCGACAGACTGACAGGGCTACCCCACCTGGAATGTTGACCGTAGTCTGTGGCTCCGCTACCCGCCACAGGGCGGACAGTTTGCTGTTTGCATCCGGCCCAGCCCCCAATTCAGCGACAACAAAGCTAACATTTATAACCATTGAACTGCCCCCACAAAAGGCGAACAGTTGACATCACCAGCAATTGCTGGTAGAGAGTCAGCTGCTTTCTGATCAGCAGCCACCGACCGATGGGAAGCTGTCGATACCAGCCGGACAGCTACCGCATAAAAGAGGGGCATTTCAGACCCACTGGGGGCCTTAAATCCTTGGTCACTGTACAATTAATTCATCACCTTTAGCCGTCTGACTGGCTTGGCCTGGCAAGGGAAGCTGGGAGACTCGTCACATTTAAATCTCGGGTTATATACAAGACGCTAAATCTGAGAGACGGACGCAGACCGAGAGAAGCAGGCGCCATTTCACAACATGCGTTTGGCAAAGTTTGGCAATGTGAAATCTAACCCACAGGAGCTGATATTGCAACACAAAGAGTGATTCACACATGGAATTCACTGCCACAGGAAGTGGTGGCGGCTACAAGCATGGACGGCTTCAAAAGGGAATTAGATAAGCATATGGAGCAGAGGTCCATCGGTGGCTATTAGCCACAAGGTATAGATAGGGACTCTGGGGCAAGTGATGCTCTGTATTCTTGGTGCTTGGGAGGGCTTCTACTGTCCTGGCCCCACTGGTGGACCTCCTGATGGCACCTGGTATTTCTGGCCACTGTGTGACAGAGTATTGGACTGGATGGGCCTTTGGCCTGATCCAACATTGGCGTCTATGTTCTTATGTTCTTATCAGGAAGTCTTGAAGACGCCACAAAGCTCAAAACAGCCCTATGGCAGGTCTATTTGGAAGTACATCCAACGTTATCCAACAGGACTTAGCATTTGTACTTTGTGTACTTAGCACTGCAGCCATAGAGTCTAAAGCTGAACCCACATCTGACATTGGATGGCTATTAGTAGGCTTCCTTTCTACAGCAGTATTAGTACGCGAGCTTATTTCTTTTGTTCTCATTTAATTAATGGAGGATTTAACTAATGCCAATATTCCTGTTACTTGCCTGTTAAAAGATCCACCCAGCTTAATGGGTGGGGTGTGTGTGTAGAATTTCTAACACACACACACACACACACACCGCTGCTGTGTTTCCCCTGTAAAAAACCCCTTATTAGATAGCAGAATCATTAGGAGGTCACAGAATCATAATTGGAAGGGACCTCCAGGATCATCTGTCCAAATCCCTGCCCCATGCAGGAAATTCACAAATACCTCCCCCCCCTCACCCCAGTGACCCCAGTTCCATGCCCAGAAGATGACAAAAAAACCCTCCAAGATCCCTGGCCAAACTGGCCTTGAGGGAAAATTGCATAACGAAGATGTATAACAGATTCAAGGACCAAACAGGAATAGCAAGCTTAGTTTGGTTTAATTGGGGGGGGGACATAGTGAAGGAAATAAAGATGTCATATGGAGTCTCTTATGTTCTTATGATAGTACTTGGCATGTTAATGGAATTAAATAATATAACAGTGCACACCTAAACACTAAGTTATACCTTGCTTCTAAGCCCACTGAAACCGACGGGGTTAAAAAGGTCTAATTCTGCTGACGACTGCACTGTAAATGCCTCACAGGGCTATCCTACGCCGACTTACAACTTTCTATTCCCACAGACTTCAATGGGCCTAGAAGGATGTTGCTCAGCACTTTTTCCCCTCTTTAATAATCTTTTATTTAGATAATATAAACAACAATTTACAGTAGCACATACAATTAGGAAATCACAACAACTAACACCATAATTACAAGCATGAAAACCACAAGCGCAATAAAATCAAGCAGTTATTCGCTATATGGCTGTAACCTTCAAATGATCAGGGAGTGCCTTTCTAAGCTTACTTATGTCTTCCCCTATATTCAAGAAGAGGGAACCGATGTTCCAAATAATCTGAATGAAAGTTTGGATTCTCCGCCAAGGAAATGACATCTGGTATTTTGTCTATGACCGGGTATTGTCAGCTAGGCCTCTGTCTAGTCCTGCCTGCCACGGGAGTGGGATGACTCCGGAATGTTAAGTTTCATTTCTGCTGTGTCTTCTCTCTTTCTACTATCTCTGTTTGACCTTCAGTGCCTGGTGTAGCATTTCTCCTGGGAACTGAAGCCTGTTACTTTGGCAGGCTTCTACCTGGTCCCTCATTGGCCCTGGGCCATCAGGGGGGTCTCTTTGAGTAATGTATAACTGCTTGCTTCGCACGCTTTTATTCAGTTCTAACACGAGATGGTTAAGATATCTGCATACTATCAAATGTCTCAATAAACTTTACTTCTTTGAATGAAAGCTGTTGGGAACTGATTGCTGCAAGAGTCTGACAGGTATTCCCATAACTTATAGAACCTGATATTCGATGAGGGTTGTATACTACTTTCCCAGTGCCTAGCCACTAAAGTCTTGGCTGCCACCAACATATAAGAAATGAGATCTTTCCTGACAGCAGGAACATCTGTCCCCTTCCCATAAACTAAGCAAGACAAGTTCTGGCCTCATAGGGATACTCTGCCCAGTACTCAGCACTTGAACATGGCAAATTGCTATACCCTATGCTACTTTAGCACATGTATCTTAGCTTTTGACATCTAAGAGATTCGAAATGTATAAAAGTGAAGCTAGGAAACAAAGAAAGTGTCTTATTTGGAAAGAAGAACAGTCTGAGGTAGTCAGTCCTATTAGGACTACCACCAGGTAAGGCTATCTTGGAAAGCGTTTCACCTGTTCCAGAATAAGGTAAAGGTAAAGGGTTCCCTTGCTCAAAAGCCAGTCAAATCCGACTCTAGGGTTGCGGTGCTCATCTCCGTTTCAAAGCCGAAGAGCCAGCGCTGTCCGAAGACGTTTCCGTGGTCATGTGGCCGGCATGACTAAACACCAAGGCGCACGGAACACTGTTACCTTCCCACCGAAGTGGTACCTATTTATCTACTTGCAATTTCTTGCTTTCGAACTGCTAGGTTGGCAGGAGCTGGAACTAGAGACGGGAGCTCACTCCATCATGCGGCACCCCTTTCGCTTCTGATTTTTACAATATTTTTCTAGGTCTTCACATCTCTAGCAGGAATTCTCATTCTCCATTCTCCACAGACTGTTCTACATAAAAAAAATTCACATTATGCATTTTGGGTAACACCTTGTCTTCCTTCGTTCCGAAAAAGAAACTATTTCATATGATTTTTTAAATAGGGGTGAGAGAGCTCTTTCCAGAACTGCCCTTTCAAGGACAGCTCTTGTCAGAACTATGGCTTGCCCAAGGTCATCCAGCAGCTACAAGTGGAGGAGTGGGGAATCAAACCCGGTTCTCCCAGATTAGAGTCCGTGCACTTAACCACTACACCAAACTGGCTCTCCTGGGCCTTACAAACCGAGGGCTGTAGGCCTCCTTGTTAGGGTGAGGTATTTGTGAAATTCCTGCATTGTGTGTGTGGGGGGGGAGGGTTGGACTAGATGACCCTGGAGGTCCCTTCCAGCTCTATGATTCTAGGATTCGAGTCACTCCATCTCACTCTGGGTCGTCTTCTTTTCCTGCTGCCTTCAACTTAAAAATTTAGCCACACGCGCAGTTACTTGTTTGTCTTCACCTCTTAGTAACCGAGAAGACAAAGAGAGACATATAACTTCGTGGATGGCACAGTTTCTGGTGGCTGAAGTTAAGTCACGTTGTAACTGAGGTAGCGAATCTTAGGCATCCCTTTTAGCGTGTGATAACTCCTATTCAGGGCTATTTTTAGGCAGGAACACACAGGAACAGAGTTCCGGCTGGCTCCTGAGTTGGCCACACCCAGCAGGAACTAATTAGCATAATAGGCCACACCCAACAGCAGAAACTTATTAGGATAGGCTACATTAGAGGTGTGTGGCCTTCATGCAAAGAAGTTCCTGCCACAAAAAAAGCCCTGGGTTTTGAGAATAAACAAAGTAAACAGAATAAGAAGCAAAAAGTGGGTGTGGCTGGATGACCACACTGCTGGTAACATGGGGGTGTGGCCTAATATGCTAATGAGCTGAGCTGTCAAGGTGTGGCCTAATATGCTAATGAGTTTCTGCTGTTGGGTGTGGCCTATTATGCTAATGAGTTCCTGCTGGGCTTTTTCTACAAAAAAAGCCCTGCTCCTATTTATGATTTCTTTGGTCATGAACATCAGTATTTAAGAAGACAGTCATCTGAGGCCCTGGCCTGGATAGCCCAGGCTAGCCAGATCTCGTCAGATAAGCTGGGTCGGCCCTGGTCAGTATTTGGATGGGAGGCCACCAAGGAAGCCCAGGGTCATGACACAGAGGCAGGCAGTGGCAAACCGCATCTGAATATCTCTTGCCTTGAAAACCCTACGGGGTCGCCGCACGTCAGCTGTGACACGATGGCGAAATAAAAAGAACTCATCTGAACATGGATGGAATGATCCCTTTCTTCTGTTGCTTACTTCCTGTGGGCCAACCTGAACAGCCGTCTGACCCTTTATGTGGGGTCCCTCTCCGCCCTGCCCACCCAGTGCGCTGGCCCCAACCTGGGTAAGCATACACACCTTGCAAGGGGCTGGTTAGTCACTGGGGTTGGTTAGTCACTGGTTTGCCCACCTCCACCGGGAGCCAGGCCATTCATTCACTCAGCAGTTTGACATAACTAGGGTCCCGCTTACATTCGGTGGTGGAAAGTGCAGTCTCAGCCAACTTATGGCGACCCCGTAGGGTTTTCAAGGCCAGAGCTGAAAAGAGGTGGTTTTGCCATTGCCTGCCTCTGCGTGACAACCCTGGAACTCCTTGGTGGTCTCCCATCTAAGTACTAACCAGGGCCGACCCTGCTTAGCTTCTGAGATCTGATGAGATCAGGCTAGCTTAGGCCATTCAGGTCAGGGCAAAAGACACACAGAGGTGGTTTTGCCATTGGCTGCCTCTGCGTAGCAACCCTGGAACTCCTTGATGGTCTCCCATCCAAGTACTAACCAGGGCCGACCCTGCTTAGCTTCCAAGATCTGATGAGATCAGGCTAGCTTAGGCCATTCTGGTCAGGGCAAAAGACACACAGAGGTGGTTTTGCCGTTGCCTGCCTCTGCGTACCAACCCTAGACTTCCTTGGTGGTCTCCCATCCAAGTACTAACCAGGGCCGACCCTGCTTAGCTTCTGAGATCTGATGAGATCACACTAGCCTAGGCTATTCAGGTCCGGGCAAGGTGGTTTTGCAGTTGCCTGCCTCTGCGTAGCAACCCTGGCCAGAGCTGAAAAGAGGTGGTTTTGCCATTGCCTGCCTCTGCGTGACAACCCTGACAACCCTGGAACTCCTTGGTGGTTTCCCATCTAAGTACTAACCGGGCCTGACCCTGCTTAGTTTCTGAGATCTGACAAGATTAGGCAAGCCTGAGCCATCCAGTTCAGGGCCATCCGGTGTGTGTCTGCGTGTGGAGCTTACATACACCAAACTGGGTGATATAGCAACATGTGGGGTGGGGTGGAAAAGGGGTGTTCACCCCACCCCTGCATGGGCTAGTATATCATGCACTGAATCATAGAATCACAGAGTTGGAAGGGGCCATACAGACCATCTAGTCCAACCCCCCGCCCAATGCAGGACCACTACAGTCTCACCTGGCATTTCTAATTTGCAAAGGACTGATCGTTTGCAATTACCGAGATCGCTAACCTTCCCATTTTAGAGATAATGCAATCAAAGACTGGCTCGCCTAAGCCCGCCTCTCTGTTCCTAGGACCAGACTACTTATCAATGCCCGTTCTTTGCTTTTCTAGCAGCCCCTAAAACCCAGACTCACCACTGCAGGCACGTTTACAGTCCTGATGTGATCGACTGCCGGGTCTCCCACTGACATCTCCGGTACGAAGTAAAAAGTCCTCGGGCTGAAAAAAGACACTTTGGTGCCATTCTCCAAAATGTGAACGTTCACTTTGGGTCTGTCTTCCCTAGAAGAAGATAGAAAGAGCAGCTTCAGAACCTTAACACGCATCAAGCCAATGTCAAATCCAGTTCTCGGTTCGAAAAAGATCTATCGGCTTTGCGGTGCTTCATCCAGCGGGTTCTCGACCTTTCCAAAACGGGACCTGCTTTGAAACTTAACTGTACCTTTCAAGACCCACTTGCAAACTAACTCCACTCTACTTTTCCTTTTCCTATGTAAATTGTAGGGATTTTAAATACATTCACACTGAATAAGTTTAGATTCTGCTGTTTAGTATTCATCACTGCACAGCATTACTGAGCAACAAACAACAAGAGGATACACAGTAGGAAAACAACCCAAAACAAAAACAAAACAAAACATGTAGACCAAAAATTCAATCAACAAGCAAATTTCATTAGAAAATTAGAAAACAAGAGTGCATAAACACCATAAATCGTACATAATTCCAAAAACCATTAAATATAACAACAACTTAGATTATTCCCCACGTCAATAGCGGCTTTATTTTTCACAGACACATCAAGCCAAGTATTTGTCAATAGGACAGTATATACCCTGACCTGAATAGCCTAGGCAAGCCCAATGTTGTCGGATTTCGGAAGCTAGGCAGGGTCGACTCTGGCAAGTACTTGGATGGGAGATCTTGAAATCCTAGAGGCAGGGGCAGGCTTTATTCAGCCACCTCTCTGAATATCCTCCAGGCCCCCAGTAGGGGTCAGTCACTAGAGGGCACCACGACTTCCAGGGGCACGCACACTCACACACACACGTTTGGTGTAGTGGTTAGGAGCACGGACTCTAATCTGTGAGGTTTTAATGTCAATGACAATGGCACTGGATGAAGGCCATGGTGGTATTTTATTAGTGTTTTAATTGTATTAATTGTATATACTGTATTTTATTAAATTTGATGTGACCTGCCCTGAGCCTGCTATGTGGGGGAGGGCGGGATAAAAGTCGAATAAAATAAATAAATAAATAATCTGGGATAACCGGGTTTGATTCCCCACTCCTCCACATGCAGCTGCTGGCGTGACCTTGGGTCAGTCACAAGTCCCCTCAGAGCTGTTCTCTCAAGAGCAGTCCTCAAAAGAGCTCTCTCAGCCCCACCTACCTCACAGGCAATGCTCCCTCTAAGCTGTGGAGTCTTGTGAGCAAAACCTCTACTTTTGTGAGCTACTGGCATTAAAGTTGTGAGCCAGCGATTCAGCTACTGCATAAATTAGTTTGCTCTGGAGCCATCCTTCCTGAGCGAAGACAAAAACGTGTGAGCCGGAGGCTAAGAAACTGTGAGCTAGCTCACACTAACTCAGCTTAGAGGGAACACTGCTCACAGGGTGTCTGTGGTGGGGAGGGGGAGGGAAAGGAGATTGTAAGCCGCTCTGAGACTCCTTTGGGTAGTGAAGGGTGGGGTATAAATCCAATCTCCTCCTCTTCTTCTTTTACCTCACAGGGTGTCTGTTGTGGGGAGGGGAAGGGAAAGGAGTTTGTAAGCCGCTCTGAGACTCCTTCAGGTAGTGAAGGGCGGGGTATAAATCCAATCTCTTCTTCTTCTGCACATGGACGTATTTAAAAAGTACCCATAAATACCACACACAAAGAACACTATAATACTGCACAATCTGAACCAAAACCACAGGATTGCTTTAGGAAGGCTTCCAAGCATGCGGGCTGCACAGATTGAAATGTTAGAAAACATACAAACCTGCCCGCTGGGCGTAATTTTGGCTTTCATCGGCACGGAATTCTGCTGTTCTTTGCTTAGCAGAGCCACGAAAAATCTGGCCAGCTTGCCGAACAAAGAGCATGCAAATTGTTCCCACCCCTCTTTCCTCATCACAATGCAAGCCACAGCACAGCATGAGTAGCGCAGGAACAGGCAGCAACACGAAGAGGGTTTTGAAATGCACAGTGCTGAGAGGGCGACACTCGAAGCAAGGGAGGAAGACTGACCTATAAAACAGCCCCTTGCCATCCGCGCAACTCAAGGCTTTCATAATAGGCCTAGGTGACAGATTGCAGACTGCAAGGCTGCAAACAATGCATGAGTCAGGCATCCCAAGCCGATCTCCATTTCTCAATGAATGTACAAAGCGGGCCTTTCAGGAGTCGCAGCATTGAGACATCTAAGCCAGGGGTGTCGAACTTATTTGTGATGAGGGCCGGATCTGACATAAATGAGACCTTGCCGGGCCGGGCCATGTGTGTCATAAAATGTAACACCCAGTAGTGGAGAAATAAACTTTATATAAAGGACACAAACACAAAGGTGTTTTTTTTACTTAGAACAAAAACATGCTTAGAACATTAGCTCTGTAAGCTGCAAACCTACTTTTGATCTATTGACATTCACCACAAAAATCTCACGCTCAGAGTTCTGAGTCTGGGACCCAGGTTAAAACATGAAATGAAGAAGAAGAGATTGGATTTATACCCCGCCCTTCACTACCCAAAGGAGTCTCAGAGCGGCTTACGAACTCCTTTCCCCTACCCTCCCCACAACAGACACCCTGTGAGGGAGGTGGGGCTGAGAGAGCTCCTTCAAGAACTGCTCTTTTTCAAGAACAGCTCTTATCAGAACTACGGCTTGCCCAAGGTCATCCAGCCAGGTGCAAGTGGAGGAGTGGGGAATCAAACCCGGTTCTCCCAGATTAGAGTCCGTGCACTCAACCACTACACCAAACTGGCCGATTGAGAGTGTCTGACGAAGCAAGCTATGATGCAGCAGCAGCAGAACTGGAAGGTTCCCTTGCTCGAAAGCCAGTCGAATCCAACTCTAGGGTTGCGGTGCTCGTCTCCGTTTCAAAGCCGAAGAGCCAGCGCTGTCCGAAGACGTTTCCGTGGTCATGTGGCCAGCATGACTAAACACCAAGGCGCACAGAACACTGTTACCTTCCCACCAAAGTGGTACCTATTTATCTACTTGCAATTTCTTGCTTTTGAACTGCTAGGTTGGCAGGAGCTGGAACTAGAGACGGGAGCTCACTCCGTCATGCGGCACACTTGGGTCTCGAACTGCTGAACTACCGACCTTCCACAGCCTGCAGTTCAGCATCTTAACCACTTGACCATAAAGGGCTTCAAAGGTGAGAACCAGCACCCTGAAATGAATCCAGTATGCTATCGGCAGCCAGTGCAATGCTTTCAGCACAGGCTGGATATGCTCCCGCATAGTGCGCGCCCACAAAAGCCTGGAAGGCCATTACTGTCATCCCCATCCTGCTGGTTGTATAAGGCCATCTAGTCTCTGTGTCTCTGTGTGTGTTTGTATGTAGATTTATATGTTTTGATTGTGCTAGTAAATATATATATACACACATACACACTTTAAATGTTATTTTTATATTTCAGTGTCTTAATGCCTGATGTTTGCTGCCTCTTGCAGTCAAAAGGCAGTATATAAATGTTTTAAATAAATGATGATATTCAATAGTGAAGCAGGAACCAGCCAGATTATAGCTCATCCTCCTAGCAATGTGGAATTCACTGCCAGAAGATGTATCAATGGCTACAGAAATAAACAGCTTTAAAACAGGATTAGATAGATTCATGAAGGATAGGTCTAGCGGCAGCTACTAGCCATGGTGACTGAACATTCAGTGCACATTCAGAGGCACTAAACCTCTGTATCCCAGAGCCAGGAGGCAACGTCAGGGGAAGGCCCGGCCTCTCTGCCCTGTTGTTGGCCCTCCAGAGGAACTGGCTGGCCACTGTGTGAGACAGGATGCTGGACTAGATGGACCCTCGCTGGTCTGACCTAACAGGTCTCTTCTTGGGTTCTTATGAGGAGAAGGCCTTGGCCTCTCTGCCCTGTTGTTGGCCCTCCAGAGGAACTGGCTGGCCACTGTGTGAGACAGGATGCTGGACTAGATGGACCCTCGCTGGTCTGACCTAACAGGTCTCTTCTTATGTTCTTATGAAGACCTTGGCCTCTCTGCCCTGTTGTTGGCCATACAGAGGAACTGGCTGGCCACTGTGTGAGACAGGATGCGGGACTGGATGGACCCTCGCTGGTCTGATCCAGCAGGGCTCTTCTTGTGTTCTTATGAGGGGAAGGCCTCGGCCTCTCTGCCCTGGTGTTGGCCGTCCAGAGGAACCGGTTGGCCACCGTGTGAGACAGGATGCTGGACCAGATGGATCCTCACTAGTTTGATCCAGCAGGGCTCTTCTTATGTTCTTAACTCTTGTTACCCCAATTCGTTGGTTGTCCGATTATGTATGAATGTTGGGTCCCCGTCCCCCCCTCATTGAACCCAGTTTTGGACTCTCAGCCATCCTCACGGATCACGCTAGCACTTCACCATAGGATGCCGCCATATTTACTTAAGTTTTATTGTATTTATTGTATTTTATATCTTGTATTCGCTGTTTTAAATTGTATGCTGTTCTAAACTGTCGTAAGCTGCCCTGAGCCACCTCGGCGGGAGGGCGGGGTAGAAATCCAATAAATAAATAAATATTCCCAACTGCTGTCCAAAGAAGTAATTAAAAATTACCTGTAAGTGTACGGTCCAGTTTCTGTCACACGGGGAATCTCACCATTAAGGACTTCTAAAGGATTGGTCACGTTAAACATATAGAACTGCATATATACTGGCGGCGGAGGCTCCTCCCATAGTTTTAAAGTGTCAGAACCATTCTTCAACACCATTTCCTAAAGGGAAAAAAAAACAAAGAAAGAAAGGCTATTCAGATACGTTCAAAACAGACACAGGACATAATTTTGCATACAGAAAGAGCCGATTTACGCGACCAGCGGAATCATGTGATGCGACGTTTCCCGGACTGTCCTATCACAAGTTTATTGGGGGGGGGGGAACATATCTGGAAGCTCCCACAAACCAAGAAAAATAGCATGTAGGGAACAGGCTTTCATATAACTCTTCCCCTCCTATAGAGCCAGCATAGTGTAGTAGTTAAGAGCGGCAGGCTAATCTGGAGAGCCACTCCTCCACATGATGTTTGCTGGGTGACCTTGGGCCAGTCTCAGTTCTCTCAGAGCTCTCTCAGCCCCACCGGCCTCAGAAGGAGCCTGTTGTGAGAGGGAAGGGAAGGTGATTGTAAGCCGCTTTTGAGACTCCTTATGGTAGAGAAAGTTTTCCGACAGTTTTCCGAGACCAGCTGAGCTCTGAGCAGGAGCAGGAGAGAGAGCTGTGAGAGAGGTGAGTGGGTTTCTTTTACTTGCTTTCAGCTGAGAGAATTCAGCTAAGGATATTTTGTGGGAAAACTGTGTTTAGCAGTGTGTGGAAGCACTTAGAGTTCTTGCAGAGTCCTGGCTGATTGAGTGTGGGAGAGGAACGGGCACTGTTTGACTGGGATTGCCTGTAATTGAGAGGAAGTGGAAGGGGCATTGTTTTGCCTGTGATTGAGTGCCTGGGTGAATTTGAATTTGAATAGCTGCTGCCTGACCTCTGCTGGGGGAGGCCTCTATTTAAGGAAGCACCTTGCCAGAGGCAGAGGAGACCAGCTGAGCTCTGAGCAGGAGCAGGAGAGAGAGCTGTGAGAGAGGTGAGTGGGTTTCTTTTACTTGCTTTCAGCTGAGAGAATTCAGCTAAGGATATTTTGTGGGAAAACTGTGTTTAGCAGTGTGTGGAAGCACTTAGAGTTCTTGCAGAGTCCTGGCTGATTGAGTGTGGGAGAGGAACGGGCACTGTTTGACTGGGATTGCCTGTAATTGAGAGGAAGTGGAAGGGGCATTGTTTTGCCTGTGATTGAGTGCCTGGGTGAATTTGAATTTGAATAGCTGCTGCCTGACCTCTGCTGGGGGAGGCCTCTATTTAAGGAAGCACCTTGCCAGAGGCAGAGGAGACCAGCTGAGCTCTGAGCAGGAGCAGGAGAGAGAGCTGTGAGAGAGGTGAGTGGGTTTCTTTTACTTGCTTTCAGCTGAG